ACATCCCCCAGCATGGAAGAGTCACCTGAAATGCTGATAACCTCTTAATGATTAACCAACACGAGGATCAGTAAGCAGACACTTCCTGCACTGGGCCACCTGTAGCTCCAAAGGGAGATGTGGTTCTTGGAAAAGCCACACCTTCATGTCTCCCTCTTGCATGTTGTGGTTCTGCTCCATGAAAACCTTCCCTTGCAATGAGGAATCACAGTCCTGGAAGTCCTTGGATGGAGCTCAGTTGTGGAGTCCTGGGATGGGGGCACCTTTAGAGGATCCCCTGGATGGGGGCACGCTTTGAGGAGCCAGCCCTGCTGCCCATGGGTTCCCAGCTTCCCTGTTTTGGGCTGCAGGGTCCTGAGGAGGGCCGTATCCCCATCCCAAGGTGTGTAACCTGGCCAACTCACCCATTTCTCTCCGCAGTATTTAAACATGTTGCGGACGTGCGAGGGTTACAATGAGATCATCTTCCCTCATTGCTCCTGTGACTCTCGGCGGAAGGGACATGTCATCACGGCCATCAGTATTAAGCACTTTAAACTCCATGCCTGCACCGAGGAGGGACAGCTGGAGGTGAGAGCTTAGCCCCATAACTCTGTAGGAAGCCCCAGAGCTCTGGGCTGTGGTCCCTGACCCTCTTCATGTGGCTTCACTTCACCACCCAATGTGCCTAGAACCCCCCCTGGCCCCCCCAAAGGCTCACCTGGGTTCTGTCTCCCCTTAGAACCAGGTAATAGCGTTTGAATGGGACGAAATGCAGCGGTGGGACACAGACGAAGAGGGAATGGCCTTTTGTTTTGAATATGCTCGAGGAGAGAAGAAACCCCGATGGGTTAAAATCTTCACCCCCTACGTAAGTAGCCCAATTCCTGGCAGGTTTGAGAAGCCAGAACTGCTCTGTGTCTGGGTGCAGTGGTGTCACCCAGGAGTCCATCCTAGGAGCAGTGACCTTCAACACCTTTGTCAGTGACACAGACATTCTGTGGTTCTGAAGGTCCCTCTCAACCCAACCATTCCATGATCCCATGGATTGGTGATTCTTGAGGTCTCTTCCGACCTGTGCTCTGATTCCATAGTTGTGTGACCTGTAGGCTCCCTTCCAACCCAACCATTCTGTGATCCCATGGTTCTGTGCTCTTTAATGTCCCTTCCATCCCAGCCATCCCGTGACTCCATGGGAGCTGCAGAACCCCCAGCACTGCGGTGGGGACGCGGCCGCCAGGAGGAGCCAGCAGCACAGGCTGGGCTTTGGGTGCTGCGTGAGATCTGAGCTGCGCCTGCTTTCTCTTTGCAGTTCAACTACATGCATGAGTGCTTCGAGCGGGTTTTCTGTGAGCTCAAGTGGAGGAAAGAGGTAAGGAGCCGTGACTGCAGGGAATTGCCTTCACCTTCCAAGCAACGTTTTGCTGCCGATCGCTCCTGCCTGCCCCCAGCAAGAAGGGTTGCACAGGGAGCAGCAGGGTGTTTGAGCAGGGAGCTGGCTCTGCTGGGAGCACAGTGTTCTGTTTGCAGAGCTGCAGGGTGCTGTGTGTCACGGTCCAGCGAGGAGCTCCTAGGGTTGGTGGGTTCTGCTGTCGCCTGCAGGTGGCAAAACCTTTGTCCTTTGGCTGCTGAACTATTCAGGAAGGGCTCTCTTCTACTCAGAGCCATGCTGTCACTGTGGGTCCATCCTCTGGCCTGTGCCTGCTGGTGCCATCCAGCTCTTTTGTCCTCTCATCCCGTCTGCCCTGGGCTCACCATGCTGTGGAGTTGGGAGCTCCAGGGCTGGGCCTAGCATGAGGTGTGAAGTGTTGCAGTGGGACAAAGGGTCCACGCTGTGTGACATCCCTGTCCTCATAGGAACCACGAGCTCTGGGCTCTGGGACCCCACTGGGTGACATCGCTGTCACTTTGCAGATGGCACTGCCCCTGCCCTGGGCTCAGCACCACACTCTGTGTGGCTCAGAGCTGCATCTTGGCAGCAGTCTGGGGCCAAAACTCTGGGGCCAGAGGTGGGATGGAGATGGAGATGTAGAGCTGATGGTGCTGATGCTGCATCTGTGCTGGAGGTGGTGCTGGAGCTGGAGCTGCATTTCTGAAGCTGGTTTCCAGAGGTGGAGCTGGAAGTGGTGCTTAGTGCTGCTGGTTGTGCTGGGCTGCAAGTTTTGGTGGTGCTGGAGCTGCTTTGCTGTGCAGAAGTGCCACCATCGCCCCTCCTGCTGCTCCCCTCCGCCTCTCGCTCCCCTCCCACCCCCTCAGGCCCCATTTTTTTTTATTTATCCCCTTCCCATCTTTTTCCCTCATCAAGGTGGAGGAGGAGGCAACAGACAAGGATAACCAGAACTGCAGCACAGACACGGTGTGCAGCAAGGTAACGGCGCTGCAGCACCTGCCGGGAGCTCCGCAGCGCAGAGCAGCGCCTTCTGCTGCTCCCCACCACTGCTCCTATTGCACACAGCTCTGCTCCACGCCTCTGCCATGGCTGCAGGCTGTGCTGCTGTGCACAGTGGAGTGTGGCTGTGCCTGGCTATGTGTGACTGTAGCTGGTTGTATCTGGCTGTGTGTGCCTGCACTGGGCTGTGCTCACTGAGGTGGAACACCCCCCCCCAGAGCCCCTTTGATGGTGTCACTGCTGCAGAAGGAGCCCCCGGCCCCACACGGCTTCCTCTGCCCCACAGATGCTGAGCAGGAGATAACAGCAGGGCAACCCTCAGCACTGTGGGGCGGAGGCTGTGTGTGTGCTGAGCATCCCCTGGCCGGGCCCGAAGCTTTGGGTCCCATTCTGTTGATGTGCATCACAGCTCTATGGGGCAACTCACAGCTCCCAGCCCCCCCAGCCTTGGTTGATGCATCCCATTCTGCCCATCGCAGCTCTATGGGGCAACTCACAGCTCCCAGCCCCCCAGCCTTGGTTGATGCATCCCATTCTGCCCATTGCAGCTCTGTGGGGCAGCTCCCAGCTCCCAGCCCCCCAGCCTTGGTTGATGCATCCCATTCTGCCCATTGCAGCTCTATGGGGCAACTCACAGCTCCCAGCCCCCCCAGCCTTGGTTGTTGCATCCACCCCCCAGCCTCCCAGGAGTGGGACAGGGAGCGATTCTGCAAACGGTGAAATAAAGACTGCGGGTGGAGCACCCCAAATGCAGCAGCAGGGTTTTGAGCTTGGGTTTGTGAATAGAATTGCTCGTGGCTGTGCTGTGGGGCATTTGGTGCTGTAGGGAAAAGGGCAGAGCCATCCCAGAGCTGGAACACCCCCAGTTGAACCAATAATCCAGCATTGGGCAGGAGTGGAGCGAACACGAGGAGCTGCAAAGCATGGGCAGAGATGGGGACGGCAGTGATGGTGTGGGGTGCATCGCTGGCTCTCTGCACCATATGGGTCAGGGTCCTCACCCTATGGGGGTGCATCACGGACCCCCCACCCCATGGGGGACATGGCAGTGCCACCTTTTGATGCTCCCTTCTCCTCTCTTGCAGAACATCTTCCAGACGGTGCGGTCACAGCAGAGGGACGCGGCCACTTAACCTCAGCACAGCAGAACGTAACCCCCCTCCTCCCCCCAACCCCCAAATTAACACTTAAAAATTCTGTTATTGTATTAAAGCCCTTAAACTAAATATTATTAATAATAACACCATTTGTCAACGTCATCTTTGTGGGACTGAGGAGGGCTCGGCCCCATCCCATCCCTTCAGCCCTACACCCATGGACGGATCGGATCCCATTTTTTACAACTGGAAATTGAATTCATTCATTTGCACTGTTTGGACGTATATATGTATGTATGTATAAAAAAAAAAAAAAGGCAAAAAAATCACAAAAAAAGAAAAAAAAACAACCATGAAGAAGTGATGTGTACCAATCCCATCCCCGCGGACCCGTGTGGGTACGGCAGTGGCGGTGCCTTTATTAAGGTGTGTTTGCACACACATCCCTCCTTCCACCTCAGTCTGGTTTTAAAAACTGAATGTTTTAGAGAGAAGGAAAATAAAGGGGAGGAGGGGACAGGGAAAGAAAAAAGGAAAATAAGGAGGGGGGGGGGGACAGGGAAGGAAAAAAGGAAGAAAAGGGGAAAAAAAGGAAGAGAAAAAAAGGGGGGAGGGGGAAGAAAGTAAGGGAAAAAATGGAAAAAAAAAAGAATAAAGAAAAGGAGAAAAAGAAGAAATGAAGAGGATGGGCTCTCCGTGGTTGACACGGTGCTGTTCCATCCATGGAGGGGGAGTGTGACCCCAAAGGGACAGCAGGGGGGAAATGGGGCAGCTGGGGAACGAAAGGGCCATCATTAGTGGGACATTGAGGGGGGCACAGGGTTGGGGGGGGGCGAAGGGGGGGCAGCTCGTGCTGCTGTTGGACCACATCTGGGGACTCAGCTGCCCTGCCTGCCATCCCCGCATCCCCTCCACGGCGGACCCCAGACCCTCATTTCTGCACGGAACCCCTTTTCACTCCACACCGCCCCCCCACCCCCCCATTGCTTTCCACCTCGGTGAGATTTGGGCTTTTTGGGGTCGGTTTTTTTTTTTTCTTTTGCCTTTTTCCTTAAGGAAACCGAAAGCGCAGCGCTGTGTAAGTAGGTCAGGAAGCGCCGCGGGGCCCCAGCGCCGTCTGACGGATCCGACAGCGCTGCAAAGGGCGACGAACACAAAACCCTACAAAAAGCCCACAAAAAAAAAAAAAAAAAAAAAAATAGAAAAAGAAACACCAAAAAAAAAAAAAAAAAAAAACCCTACAAAAAGGACGATCCAGCATTCGGGATTTTTTTTAGTTTGTTTTTGTTTCGTTTTGTTTTTGTTTTTGGTAACTTTTATTTAGACAGAAAAATAAAAGAAGAGAAAAAAAAAAAAAATTAAATTATCCAAAGGAATCGCAATAAATAGCAAATAAATTAAGCGCCGGTGTCGCCACCGCAGACGGCGACTCCTGGGGGTCCGCCCACCCCCACCGCCCCCCCCCCCCCCCCCCCCCCCCCCCCCCCCCCCCCCCCCCCCCCCCCCCACCGCCGACCCGCCCCCCACCCGTCCCACCCCACAACGACTCAGCGGGTCCCAAACCCCCGGTAAGGGGAGGGGGAGCAGCGGCCCCGCGGTGCCGCTAACGGGATTATCTACAGGGGGGGCCCCGCGGTGCCGCTCGGGCCGGGTTGGGCTGCGGGTCCGGGATTGTGGGGCACGGGGGGAGGGGGGAGAGAGGGGGGGGAGGTTGTGGGGCCGAGGTCCGTGCGTCCCAATGGTGGTGGATCCCCATCTCAGTACGTCCCCAGTTTTGGTGCATCCCGATCTCGGTGCGTCGCAATGTTGATCCATCCCAGTTTCTGTGCATTCCAATCTCAATCGCAATCCTGATCGTAGAGCATCCTGATCTTCCTGCACCTCAGTTTTGGTAGGTGTCAATCTCAGCGCATCCCAATCTCAGCGCATCCCAATCTCAGCGCATCCCAATCATCTCAGCGCATCCCAAATTCGGTACATCCCAATGTTGGTACATCCGAATCTCGGTGCATTTTGATCTCAGTGTTGGTACATCCTGATCTTGGCACATCCCCCGATATCAATGCAACCCAACATCAGTAAATCCCAATCTCACTGCGTCCCGATCTCTCTGTATCCCAGATGCGATGCATCCCAATCTTGCTGCATCTCCATCTCAGTTTTGCTGCATCCAACATTTGGCACATCCCAAACTTGACGCGTCCAAATCCCACCGCATCCCAACTTCAGCACACGGCAGTTTCAGTGCACCCCATTCTCACTGCATCCCAAATTCAGTGCATCCTGTATTTTGGTGCATCCCAATAGCACGGAATCCCGATTTCATTGCAACCCAAACTCGCAGCATCTCAGTTTTGTTGCATCCCCATTTTGCAGCATCCCAATCTCGGTGCATCCCAGTTTCACCGCATCCCAAATTCAGTGCATCCCGATCTTGGAGGATCCTGATCCCAGTTCATCCCAATCCCGGCGCAGCCCATGTGCAGCCACTCCGTGTCCATACAGCTGTGGCCGTGCTGGGGGGTGCAGCCCCCGGAACCCATAGAAAAGGGGAAACTGAGGCAGGTGGGGGCCAGGCAGAGCGGAGTGGCAGTGTATGTGTGGAGAGGGTCCCGCTTGCCCTGGCGCAGCCACCCATGGGGTGGTTTTTGGGGGGACAGGGGGAGGTGGCCATGTCCCCCCCCCCAACGTGAGGTGCCTCCCACGTCCCCGGCTTGGGGCTGGGTTTGGTCCTGTTTGGTGAGAAAGAAACCCCAAGCGGGGACCTGGGGGGCAATGGAGTGCCTCTACCCGAAATAGGGCAGTGGGTTTTGGGGGGAGTGCTGGGGTTGCTGGGTCCCCCTCCTCAGCCCATGGACTGGGATGGACTGGGAGGGGGGATCCATCTGGTCCTGCCGGGGGGGGTCCATCCTTCCTGAGCATATGGGGGTCTGTGTGCCCCCTCCGGCAGGACCGACCTCCCACCCCAGGGGGGCTGCTCCACCGTCGGGGTCACCCATGGGTGCTGCGCTGCACTTCCATACCTGGGGAGGAAGGAGAGGATGGGGGGCATTAAGTGGGGCCCGGAGGGGAGGGGGGGACCCCAAATGGTTTGGGGGGCTGTTAGGGGTCTGGGGGCTGTTTGTTAGGGGGTCTCACCGGGCTCAGTAGGGCCGGTTGGCGTCTTTGGGCCTCTTGAGCTGCACTTTGAGGCGCTTCATGCCGATCTGGAACCCGTTCATGGCATGGATGGCCGCCTGCGCACTGGCCGGATTGTCAAAGCTGACAAAGCCTGGGAACAGCAGGGACATGGGGACAATGGGGATGGTGGTGACAAGGGGGATGTGGGGACAGCGGAGACGTGGGGACAGCGAGGACACGGTCATGGTGTGCAGGTGTTGCTGCCCTGCAGTTGGCCCATGATATCCCCAGCTACCATAACTCCATGCCCCTTGGCCTTGGTGGCTCCAGCTGTGGTGTCCCCACGGTGTTTTGATATTCTCACCATGATGTCCCCGTGTCCCTGGGCATCACGACCCTATCTGTGAAGCCTGTCTGCATATTCTGGCCATCGTGTCCCCATATTCCTGGTCATGGTGTCCACATCTATGATGTCCCAATGCTATGACAATGGTGTTCCCATGTCTCCATCCTTGGTGACCCCATCTGTGATGTCCCTTTGTCTCTGACCATGGGGTCCTCATCTACAGTGTCCCAATCCTCTTACCATGATGTCCCCGTACTCCAACCACAGTTTCCCCATGTCTTGGCCACGGTGACCCCATATTCCTGGCCCTGGTGACCCCATCTGTGGTGTCCCCATGCCCTGACCATGGCCATGATGCCCCCACACTCTGACCATAGTGTCCCCATCCTCCAGCCATCACATCCTATGTCCCTACCGAAGCACTTGCTCTGGTTGGTGGCGCGGTCGACGAACACTTTGGCTGAGATGACGTTGCCGAAGGGCAGGAACATCTGTAGGATCTCGGTGTCAGCAAACTCCTGGGGCAGGTGGTAGATGAAGATGTTACAGCCCTCGGGGCCTGCGGAGGGAGCAGCGTCATGGTGGGCACAGGCCCGGGGCACCCCAAAAAACCCCAAACCCCAAGCCAACCCCACGCACCCATCCTATGGGGCACCCACAGACTCCAATGGATGACCCCAAAACCACTGCTCCGTGGCTCCCCTATGGCTATGGGCACCCCGAGCACAGCTCCATTGGGTGAGGGTCCTGGGGGGAGGGGGTCCCAAAGGAGTCCTGGAGGTCATAGGGGAGTCCTGGGGACTTGGAGAGGGTCCCAGGATTGTGGGGTCCTAGGAAGGTTCTGGGGTGTCCCAATGTCTCAGAGAGTCCTGAGGGGTCTCAGGAGATTCGAGGGAGTTCCAGGGGGGTCTCAGGTTCCCAGGAGGGCTTGGGGGAGTTCCTCACCTTCACGCTGCTGCTGTTGGGGAGGGGGCGGGGGGGCCAGCAGTGGCCCTGGGGGGGCGAAGGCTGGGCTCACCAGCCCATAGGCGGCAGGGTAGGCGGCTGTGGGGGAAACTAGATCAGCCCAGTACAGCCCAGTGCCTCCCAGTACGTCCCAGTGCCCTCTAGTACCACCAGAGCTCCCCCAGTACTCCCAGTGCCCCCCAGTGCCCCTCAGTGCTTCCAGTCTTCCCCCAATGCCATCCCAGTCCCTTATAGATGTGCCCTTCAAAACCATGCAGCTCTCCCCAGTATCCTTCCAGTGCCCCCCCAGTGCCACGTAGTGCTCATCCAGTGCCACCCAGCGCCCTCCCAGTGCCCCCCCCGATGCCATGCAATGCCTTCGCAGCACCCTCCAGTGCTCCCAATGCTTCCCAGTGCCCCTCAGAGCCATAAAATGCCTTCCCAGTGTCAACCACTGCCCTCCCACTGGCTCCCAGTAACCCCCAGTATCCCCCCAGTGCCATGCAGTGCCATCCCAGTGCTTTCCAGTGCCCCCTCCAGTACTCTTTCAGTCATGCAATGCCCATCCAGTACACCCCAGTTCCTCCCAGTGCCCCCAGTGTCACACAGTTCCCTCCTAGTACCTGCGCCACAAAATCCCCACCCAGTTCCCAGTGCAACTCTTTCCCAGTCCCTCCCAGTTCCCCCCAGTGCCCCCACCTGTGTAGTGCTGCATGCCAGCGTACGCCTGCTGCAGGGGGTCCGCAGGGGCAGCGGGGCTCTGGGCTGGGGGGGACAGAGTGGGGGGCCGTTAGGGGAGGTGGGGGGCAGCAAGGGGGCAGCTGGGGGGCGGTGAGCACCTGGGAACGGGGGGACCCCTCCGGCGTAGACGGCCTCGGGGGCGGGCGGCCCTGCAGGCTGTGCGGGCACGGGGCTGTACCCGTTGACACTCAATGGGGCTGCGATGGCGGGGACTGGTGTGGCAGCCATGGCCGGCGGCGTGCTGGTTCCTGGGGGACAGCGGGGTCGTCACCCTGGCGGTGGCACCGCGCTGTCCCCATCTGGTGGTGGATCCATCCTCTGGTGGCCACCATATCGCCATCCCACGTGGACACATCTTTGGGATCCCCATCCAACATGGACCCAACCCTGGTGTCCCCATTTCCAGCGTCCCCTATCCTTGATGTCGCCAACCCCCTGTGTCCCGCGTCCCACATCCCCCACCCCAGATGACCCCCACACTCCTGATGTCCCCACATCCCAAATGCCACCTACCTGAGGAGGGGGGCAGAGGGGTGGCGATGAGCCCGTTGGGGTTGACCGTGCCCATATGCTGCATCTGGACGGCCATGGTGGCCATGGGGCTGAGGTAGGCCGAGTGGGCGGCCACCAGGGCCGCCTGCTGCTGCATCAGCTGCGGGGACAGAGCTGGCACCGCGCACGGCCACCGGGGTCCCCTTCCAAGTGTTGTCCCCATGAGACCCCATGGCCCAGTGGGTGTCACCCATTTGGTTGACAATGCCCAACTTGGGAACCCAGTGTCTCCTCACAGCATCCCATTCCCATCTCGGACCACATGGGGCCATTTTTCCCCCCTTCACCCAGTGACCCCATCCTGGATTACGGAATCCGACATCGCTGGGTTCCACCATTTCCTGCTGCCCATCACTGCAGTACGGCCATCTCAGAATGTAGGGGCCCACCACCCCACCCCATGGGCGTCCATCACCTCACCCCATGTCCCATCCCAGCCCTCCGGGACCATCCTCTACCAATGTCCCCAACCCCATTGCCCCGACCCCGTGTAGGGCCATCCCTCTGGCCGCCACCCCACAATACAATGCCCTCACCCCACACCCAGGGGTCCACGTCCCCCCGATCCCCATGCCCCCCTACCGCCTGTGTGTAGGCGCTGTAGGCCCCGAACTGGAGGGCTATGGGGCTGAACATGCCGAGCTGGCTCGCCACCTGCTGCATCCTCCGCAGACCCCGCTCCTTCTCCGTGTCCGCAAACTTCACCACCAGGCTGGATGAGGCGCCCTGCGGGGACATGGGGACAGCGTGGAGAGATAGGATGGGGAGGGGTCGATTGGAGGGTTGATGGTGGGGTGAACTGGGGGGATGGTGGGGGTGATGGGAGGATGGAACTGAGATAACGGTGGGGACAATGGTGGGGATTTTGGGATGGATAATGGGAAGCGTGGTGGGGATAATGGGAATCACGACAAAAGGGGCAGGGGGTGTGATGGAGACAATGGGGACGGTGGTGGTGGGAATCAGGGGGACAATGGTGGGGCTGGCGGTGGCAAATGGGGCGGGCAGTGGGGTGGTTGGGGTGGCAGTGGGTTGGTGGCCCTCACCGGCAGAGTGCGGCTCCCGTGGAGGGCAGCAATGGCAGCTTGGGCCTCTGCATGGCTCTGGAACTTGACGAAGGCACAGCCTGGGGACAGTGGGGTCAGCAGGGACAATGCCTGGACCCTCCCCAGCCCAATACACCCTGACCATCCCCACCCTTATCTCCATTCCCATCCCCCTCCCCATCCTATCCCCAACTCCACTCTCATCATCCCTATCACATCCCCATTCCCATCTTCGTCCCCAACTCCATCATCATCCCCATCCCCATCCAACCCCTGCCCCCACCCCAACCCCATCCCCACCCCATCCTGTCCCCATCCCCACACAGTGACACCTTTGCTGGTGCCGTCGGGGCCGCGCAGCACTGTGCACTCATCGATGGTCCCAAAGGGTTCAAACATCTTCCTCACATCCTCGTCTGCCTGCTGCTTGCTGAGCATCCCCACAAACAGCTTGCGGTCCTCTGCGGGACAGCGTGGTGACACCGGGACACTGAGATGGACACCCCCTCACCGGGCCAGGATGGGGACATGGGATGGGGACAGTGTGGGGACAGCCGGTCCGACCCAACCAGGATGGTGTTGGGGACATGGGGATGGGGACAAGTGTCCCCCCTCCAAGGACATGGGGACACCAAGATAGGCTGAGACCCCCGGGATGGGGACATGGTAGGGGGGAACGCCTCTCGTGGGGCTGCTTGGGTACAGGTTGGGGACATGGGGACAGTGCCATGCTGGAGCCTCCCCAGGGACTTGGGGACACCCATGGGACAGGGACATGGGAGGAGGACAGGGATGGGGCCACCCCCCCCATGGGACAGGGGCAGAGGAGGAGGGGACGTGGGGACGTGTGTGGGGGACATGAGGACACGGTGACAAACAACACGGGGATGGGGATGGCCACCCCCACTGGGGGCATGGGGACCTCCTGGGTGGGCAGGGGTTGACGCCAGCCCCGTGGGGGACATGGGGTGGCCTTTGGGGGGTCCCGTTTGGGGACACGGGGGCGGTACCTCCTCGGCTCTCACTGTCCGCCGGCTTCACCTGGATGGGGCGGTTCATCTGGGGGGGGCACAGCGAGCGATGGGGATACAGCCCCCCCCCCAAAGCTCCCCGGGTACCCCAATGATGCTCTGCATTACCATGGCAATGCTGCCCTGCATCCCATTACCAGGCAGCGGGCACCATGGCAACGACCACCTCCCCCCCCCTCCCAACCCCCCCCCCTGCAACACACACACCATTAACTGGGGAGGGGGGGGG